GCGTTTGGTCTTCTGGCGACCGTACTGACCTAGCTCAGTATTTCGCTTTTCACAATATTCATCGACACTTCGGATAGTACGCGACGTCCGTCCAAGCATATATGAGGGCGAATGACATGGCCTTGTCTTAATATCACTTTGTTCCTGCGCTTGTGAGTAGTACTTGAACTTTGGCTCTATAATTTCTCCTTATAAGGATTTAGTGTCTACCGTACGCTACCCCCGGCCAATGACAAAGGGAAGCCATCACCAACAAACACTTCCCAGCTCCTACCGGCACCACTACTACCACCCAGGTAGGTGCCCGTCTGCTCCTCCTCCCGCACCTGAGGTTGCGGAGTGAAGGGGGTCAGATATCAACCCCTCAACTGCCCATCCTCTGTCTGAGCATCCCGGGGGTGTGGACACCTGCCAAATCGGTCGCGGCCATTTGACAATGTCTGTCCGCTTCCTTGGTTCTGAACTAGGTAGGCATAGATTTCGCTTCACAAACCCCTCGACGTACATCCCGCGGCTGTTTGACGCGAAAGCAGTCGCCCATCATGTCGAATTAGACCACTCCCCACCGTCGGCGATACCCCGCGTCCATGATTACACTCTGCCTGCCTTGATTTTGGGACTTTGAGGGCCAAGAGCAAGAGCTCTTGTCCGTTTCGATGTTCGAGAAGTGTTATCGGTCCCACCCGCGTGGAACCTGTCCAGCGCAACCCACCTTGTCGGCTGTCAAGCTTCGAGACGACGTTGGGCTCGGCATCTGATAAGTTTCCCCTAAAACCTGCCAAGCCTCGTCGACAACCCCATCCTTCTCTATAAACAACCTTCAAAGTTCGCGGTCTGCCGTCTCCTCGTTCAGACAAGTCTGCTACCTTGGCGGTAAGACGACCAACGCGAAAGGACGATTCAGTGAGAGGTGAGGGGGCCTTGTCCGATCGCTTTCCTCAACATGCAGCTACACCGGGCTGTTGCGAATCATCAGTAAAACGCCCCGAATTAGCTCTCTCCCTTGTTTCTTTACACATTGCCTAGGCAGTGTCTAGCGTGCGGCAGAGCACGTCGTCTTTCCTGACTTGTTGGTAAGATTGTCCTAGAAGTGCCAAGGTACAATGTGACTTGCGTCGTCGCAATCTCGCCTTCTCCGTCCCATCACCCTACGATCCCACCTTTCAAATTGGCCGTATAATTGAGTTAAGCGCCGGCCATCCACAACGACAAGAAACTAACGTAATCGAGGCCGGTGGCAGGACGAACGATATGCTTGGAAATGCATGTCCTCAACGGCTCATCACATCCCCCCAGGTGCCCATATCTAATTCCGTAGCGCAGTCGCAAAAGAGCCTCTTATGCCTCAGCCCCCGGTCGCTCCCCCGCGCGCTGCGCACATGCACCTACACACACACAAGCACGCACATTGTTCCATTGTGACGGTGTGAGGCCGGCGTCCATGTTTCTCGACGCAAAGGCGGATATTCCTAGGTGCCAAACCGCAAGCCGATTGGGCTTTGCCTCATGTTTCCCAGATGTCCCTGCCCCACTCCGTTCCTGTCATGCAATATACCACATCCTGGCTGCAGCGGTTTCTAAATATATCCTATTTTTAGCAGTTGGCGACCTGCATGGTGGAAGAGAGGAGGGGGATAGACGCGCTCCGCAGCCACGCGACCACAACTCTGGTTCGTGCCAATTAACCCCTTTCATCCCGTGTCGTTGTGGGTAAATTGTACCCATCTCCTGTGTCTTACGCTGCTTCTTTCTCACACCTCCAGTTTCCTGGCCCTGCTTCCCTGTGTGTCACCCAACCACCACCCCCAACCCATCACCAACCAGACGCTCTCTCTACGACCCCAAAGGGCCCAAAGGGTAATCCGTACCCGCAAAAGAGTGGGTGACTGACTGACTGACTGACTGACAGAACGACTGACTAACCGACTGGCCGGCCGGGCAACCCAATCCACTCCTCGCCCAACTCCCCCATCGATCACAGACGGCGTTCCCAACCTTGTTTGCTCCCTCTCCCTCCCTCTCTCTCTCTCTCGAAAGCCGCCACGCCGACAAACCCGTTTGAACGTGGCCGGAGCAAATTTTTTCTTCCTCCTCTTCTGTATGGGCCGCGCTCTGTCACCTGTCACGCCTGGCCATCGCCATTGTTCCGTCCGTCCAATCCCACTCTCTTCCCGTGCTTGACCTTCTCCTCCACTCCCACTCCCCCACTCCCTCTTCCTACTCAGGCTTCAGAAATGCTACGGATATTACAAAGCGCGCTTTCACTTCGTCGCCGCCCGTTATAGAGCCCGCTCCGTCCGTGTTTTGCCCCATTCGCCAATCTGGTAGCGGTGACGCGCTAGGTCCGAGTCTCCCACGAGTGACAACTCCCCCCCAATTTACCCACCACCAACCATCCTATCTTCCCGTTACTTGAATCCATGTTGCATTGTCGTCGTGCCGCAGCTTGTTTCCCCTGCTGAATGGCCGTTTCCTTTCCCCGTACCGGTGTGAACAAAAACATTAGCCGCTCTGTGAAGGTTTCTTGTATACGTTGCTGGCTGCCCTCTCAACCTACCCACCATCACACTCACACACACACACACTTCTTCAAGCGGAGAGCTGCATACCAAACAGGGATACCCAGTCTTGGTGAGCTGCTCCTATGCCATTCTCAATGCAGAGCTACGACACCTCTGTCGCCGAGGGCCTGGTCGCTTGAATGTCTTGTGTGATTAGCTGCCCATATTTCGCGGCTGGGGCTAAACTTAACAACACTAGATGCCGTGCCGATGCATCATTACATGCTTGCTTAACCGCTTGCCAAACACCCCTCTTGGGCCTCAATTTTCATGGTTCCTGGGAGAGCAGTCCACTCTTTTCCGTCCAGTAACATATGTTCCAATCCGAATCCCAAGCCCAAAAGTCCATACCATCCCTCCCTTCCTTGACTGCCCAATGCATGATTCCCGTTTTCGGAACGGTCGGTCCGACCCCATGCCCGAGGTCTTCTGGCACCAGACTTTCGCACGCAATAGGCTGGGTTTCTCTCTTATCAACCTCAACTTGGTCGCCGTACCTTAACCCCTTGCGTGTAGGTCTTGGCATGATTCTATTGTTAGCAACCGGTGACGGTTGATTATGGGGGCCTTTCCTGTTCTGGAAAGTTCGTCGGTAGTTAAGCGACCAGCTGCAGGAGTCGCATGTTATCCATTGGTAGCCACTGGGAGCAGATACCGGCTGTCCGGTTCCTTGGCCTTCTCAACCATGTTCCGATGTGCAACCCTGCAGCGCGCGGTCCGTCGTAGCTACTGAGAGCTGCCAAATTTGTCGTCCGAAATCGACGTTGTTGCCAAGCATTCACTGCCCAGGAGAGCCGGCACCGGTCGCCGGAGCATTGTAGGTGCCAAATCCACCATGCTCTGCGATGCCGTTGTCGGTTTTCATCGTACCGTTGAGCATAGGACAAAGCCTTTGCAAAAGTCAGTCAGCTTGGGTGCGGAAAAGTCGGGTTTGGGAAGGCGCGCACGAAACGAAACAAAAACGAAAGTGACAGTGAAAAGGAAAAGGAAAAAATGTCCCCAAGCGACGGGTATTGGTGCTCGGGTACAGAGCATTCGAACTACGAGATGCTTATGTGACCCTGCTGTTGTTGACAGTGCTGCTGTGCCAGTACAGCTTCTGAGTGTACTTATTGTACTTGTACTTTTTGGGCTTGGGTTTTGGAGGCTCTCTGGGCTCTCCCTTGGATGCCGCTGGCTGTTTGACCACCAGCTGCTTGCCCCTTGAGCTTGCGGGTTCGCGGCTCTTTGGCTTTTGCAGCTCGTCGCGTCTTTGCAGTGAAGGGTACGGGGTTACCTTGGGGTGAACTAGCACCCTCCGACGCCGCTGGAGCAGGAACTTGCGCTGCAGAACAAAACGAAGGTTTCCCCCACGTCTGAACATGATCTTGAGGTCTGAGGTTGGGCGGGGAGGCAGAAGAAAAACAAAAGGCGCAATACTTTTTGTTGGTCTTGATGTGTCCGACCTGTCCACAATTGGCACACTTGCGGGTAGTGCCAGTGGCAGCCCGGTCTGCCTCGGGGGAACCGGCGTCGGTTCCGCTCTTCGATCGGTGGAGCCCTTTCTGTTGCTCTCGTCCGATGCGGCGTTGCTTGTTTCTGTTGAGCCGTTCGAGCTCCTTATCAATTCTGCTATGTGGTTAATCAAGTGTCCGGCATCTACTGAAGGATACCGCGTACTCAACCAGGCGGCGTCGGTCGTCGTCAGCGACTCCGGTGGGTCGTCCTTCGTAGATACTAAACACATGATTATGTGAGCGGGGAACGCATGAATATTGAAGGATAGACCTGAAAGGGGATCGGGATCGGGTAACCGTGGTGGGAGTTCGTACTTGAAATCCTCCAACTCCAACTCCTTCTTTCTCTTGATGTATCGGTCTATAATGACAGGGTCTTCGATGACAATGACCTTTTGCTCGACAGCGCCCTGCTCATTGAGAACTTCTCGGGTGATCTTCAGCTTCTTTCGTTGGTTCCGACTGGTGGATGTTGTCAGGCCAGTGATTTGGCTCATTCCTTCGTCGGCGTGCGCGGGGGTCTGGGCTCTCTGCGGGTTGAATCGGTCGTCTTCATCTGGCGGCGGAGGGACGACTAGGTCGTCATCCTTCTCTGTGCTGTCCTCCAGGCTAGACTTCTGCTTTTCCCAGATTTCGCGAATGCCCTTTCTGTACATTTGTTCTTGCTCCTTGACGTTGTAAGCGTGCCCGTTCTTCATACGCTGTGTGTCCGGATGCGCCGCCATAGCATCAGCGGCAGTGGTATGAGAGCCACCCTTCTGAACAGTCTCGATGTAGCCACCCTTCATTGAGGTCCGTATGAAACTGAAACCAAGGCCGTGGCCAGTCGGATCTCCCTGCCCATGGAGCTTGAGCATGGCCTTGCCAGCGCATGCATCAATGAAGGCTTTGCTGGTCTTCCACGGCGCCATCTTGTCAGCCAGTTTCTCTTCGTTCTTCTCGGCAGCCTTTTTGCTGCCTTTGGCGGTGCCTGCGCCGGTGCGTTCATCGTCATCTTCCTCGGCAGGCTCTTCGTTCTCCTCGTCAAGATTGACGTTGTTGGGGTCAAACCCAGCATCTTCGAGCATTTGCATTCCTAGCTGCATGCCGTCGATCAAGCAGACGTCTTCAGGCTTGATCATGGCACGAATAGAATTTTCGTCCATCAGCTGTTCATTCGGTCTCAGCCCCCAAAGGCCTTTCTCAACCTTGGCGTAGACGAGGAACTCCTTCAGTTTTTGTCTGTTTTGGGCATCTGTGCTTTCGGCAATGTGCTTCGTAACCTCCGATAAGTTGACCAGGTTATGCTCATTCCTCCTCATCATGCGGTACGAGATCATCTTGATCCTGTTCTTGGAGGCATTGGTAACCTTTCTGGAGTGAGGACCTGGAACCTCGACAGAAGGAAATGTTTGGCCAACCACGTAAAGATGATCAATCTTATGCAGATACCAGTTTGATCCGTTGACGCCCGTTGAGCTCCGGATGCATAGGAAGTCGGTAGACCGTGGCTTATGTTTAAAGATGGGTGCCCGGTACATTTGGTTGTGCAAAGTAGGCATCGTTTGGCCGACTTCGACCTCGCCGAAGATGGCGAACGGTGATCTGTCCTCAGGCAACAGAACGTGTGATTCGCCGATGTCCATCTTTGGTGGCGTCTCCTCATCGTCCACCTTCTTTTTGCGGTAGTAGTTGATGACACGGTTTCCCATGCCAAAGTTGGAGAGAACCGGAGGTGTCCTCTCGCAGTACTCGAAGAGTACGGCTGTAGAGTTGTCCGTGATGCCCAAATCTTTTGTTGTTTTGAAGACTTCGTGTGCTTTACCCTTCATCGTTTTACGCTTGTGGAAACCCAGCTTGCTGAATCTGATGGTCTGCCGTTCGTGCTTTCCGAACTTGAACTGAGGTCGATGGAATCCGTCTCTGCGAATGTCCAGCTTGACCTTGTAGAAGGGCCATGCAAGTTTGAGAGCCGGCATACTGTGCTCAACGGCAAGGTTGCCCAGAGTCGCTCTGACCTTGTGCTGGTGATTCTCTTTCAGCGCCTCGTACGCATCGTCGTTGGACATATTAAAGCGAGAGGACAAGTCAGGTCTCATGTGACCGTTAGCCATGCGCGTCATCTTATGCTCAACGCGCTGACGCTTGGGGCCACGCTGTGATTCGGCTTCTTCCAAGATTAGGTAAGGGTCGTTCAGGTCGAGAATGACGCGCTTGGATGCACGTTTGGTCACGTCCTCGAAGGAGTCGAAGGAGGGTGCGGTGAACCGCGGAATCTCGGGCAGACCCTTTGGCGGTGGAGGACGCGTCTTCTTTCGTGGTGGCGGTTTTGCTTCTTCATCCTCAAGAAACTCAGCCTCCCAGTCAAAGTCGAAAGCATCGTCGTGGGCGCGCTTGATGGATGCAGCTGTTGCCGCCTCGGCCGCTGCTTCTTTTGCCTTCTGGTCACTAAAATCTTGCTCGGCCTGCTCGATGCGAATGGACCAGTCATCGCACACCATCTCGATGTCCTGGAGTGTGAATCCCGCAACAGCCTCCGAGTCAGAGTCTTGCTCGAGGTTGAATTCTTCTGCTTCAGCCTCATCCGAGGATTCCTGCAGCGCGCATGCCACGAGCCCTTTGGAGTCGTCGTCAATCCGTCGCTGCTTCCGGGTCACGGTTGCGGGTCCAGGAATGCGAAAAAGCTTTTCTTGATCGGCAGCGAGATCCAGTGTGAGTTTGGAGAACATGAGGAGCTTGGGCTTCTTGGAAGGCTTCTTCTCGATCCACCGAGCCTTCTTGGGAGGCAGGAGTTCGTTCCATTTCAGTATGACACCCTTCTGCCAAGTCGGCCAGGCTTGCTTGACCAGGTCTTCGGCAGTCTCTGCGGGCGCAGGGATCTCAGGATCCTGGTTGGCGGCCTCGTATCCAGGCTCAGGGTCGAAGTTGATGTCTCGGTATTGGGACGCATCGGCATCATCGAGATCGTGAACGTGAGGGGCCGGCGATGGCGGACCAGGCGCCTCGATTGGGGAGGAAGGGCCATCGCCAAACAAGTCGTCGGTGTCGTTACTCGTACCTCCGTCGTCGGTGAGGCCTGGAACGGACAAGGAAGTAGCGACGTTGCCTTCCTCTTCATCCGGGAGATCATCGTCGCTGATATCTTCAAAGTCTTGGGCGTCGTCTGCTTTACCAGATTGGTCGAATGGCGTGTCGTCAAGAGTAATACCTAGGTCGCCGCCATTTTGGAGCTGACTCAGGGTTCGCTCTATCTGCTCGTCGTCCTGTGCGTCCTGGGTCTTTTGAGCAAGCTCGCTAGGGGGTGGGGACTTGGGAGTTTCGGCGCCCATATTGTCGATGTTTTGCACGAATACCGCCCCTCTGGCACCTCCGATATTGTGCGCCGACCGTTTCCAGATCTATACCATGCCTTGAGTTGTTGTTGGCGATGCGGCGGGGACTGTGTTCGTTTGGTGGAAGCTCGTGAAGTCGATGGGGCGACGCGTCGCTCGGCTCTGGGGGAAGCAGGAGGGAAAGTTCACGTAGAGCCGCAGAAATTTGGGTGACTCAGGTGCGATTCCTGCATGGGTGCCTGAGGCATTGAGTGTCAGCCAATCAGTCTGCGTTGGAAGAAGGCAGCCATGTTTCGTGGTCTGTGCCTGCCCGTTTTACCCCGGTCGAGGCTGCTGGAGCTGTTTCTGCCATACCTAAATTCAACAGCGAGCTAAGGTAAGTAAGCCCCGCCTGCCCCTTGCCGAATGTAAGGACGAATGTGGTATGGTGATAATTGGCAGACTGGCGTTAGAAGAATGTTGTCGTTGATGGGGCATCGATGTGAGTGAAAGCATATATTGATCGATACTCGTTTGACACCGTAGTGGCAAAAGTTATATGTATTGAATAATGGCAGTTTGGTTGGCTGGCTTCCTAACTTGAGAGGGTCTTGGCCGTCACCAACTGTGTTGAGGGTTCTTGCTTTGGTAGTAGAGAGGTGTGAGGTCAAAGAGGTATGAGGTGGTGGAGAAGCGTGGAAGAGGGAAGTGGGCGGGCCTTGTCCCCCCTACGCAACGAAGCGAAGCCATTAGTCGCTACATCCGAGAATAGAAAGAACGGGGGGGAAACCTCACGTTGACGCCCATAGAAATCAGAAGAGCAAAGGACAGAAAAAACGGGAGCACGAAGACCGACAACTTTGCAAGCCATCCGCCTACCTGGGAGAGACGCGCAGGGTAATACAGTCAGTGAGTGGTAAAGGATCGGTTTCTGGTCGCAATTAGCAAGCGTTTGCAGAACTACAGGCGACGACGAAGAGCCTATCAGAACCAGAGTGCGACATCTCATACTCCCGAACCGAGAACTGCTGATACTCAAAGCAACAGTGTCATATTCTTAACCAGAAGGCCGTCCTTGCCATGCCTGAGGTGGTCAGTATAGCGTTGACCATCGCCAAGGTGTGGCATATACGATTGTGCATTAAGACGAGGCTTCTTGTTTCCTGTGCGATTGCCCTCTTTGCTGCTTCGGCATAATCCTCCAATCATGTCGGCTTACCTTTTTTTCTTCTTCTGCTTTTGCATGAGTAGTCCAGGCAGTGACGACGGGTCAGCGCATCTCTCTTATTTAAGAGAAGGGCCAGAAGTCTCTACAGTGGTGATTGATCACAGCGCAGCTAGTTTGACACTTTTGTGTATTCCGTAGAATATCTAGTTCCATCCAAGGGACGCTTGCATACACGTACAGCTGGCACCCCTTCACAACGGTTTCGGTGCGTAATCTTTTGACACCCTCCCTCTCTGATTATCAGAAAAAGCCTTTTTTGCAAACTCCGTACGCCCTTTCTTTAGCAACGCGTAAACGCGAATGATGACCCTCCCGCCATACTCCTGCTTCCCGTGTCCGACGTAATGTTCTCTCCATCACCACCGTGTTTACTTGCAACGCTTCTCGACGATGCTGACACCGTTCTCCTCGTACTCCTTGCGCGAGATCCACATCTGGTGGAAGGTACCCAAACTGGCTAGGATGCTGCCACCGATCCAAGCACCGAACCGGCGCTCGCTGGAGAGACCAGCGGCGTGGATCTTGATCTTGAGGCCGGGGTACATGGCCGTCAGCTCGTTGTTCAGGCGGTCGTTAAAGCCATTAAGCAAGCTGGTGCTGCCGGTGACAACAATGTTACCGAGAAGGTTGGGGCGCAAGTCGACATCGACGGCGTTCAGGGCAGCACGGATCAGCTCGGGGATTGTCTGGGACTTATTCAGGCGGAACTCCTCGCTGTTGGTAGGGAACGCTGCCGTCTCATCCCACATGCCTTCCGAGACCTTGTATCGCTGTTCACGCCACATCTGGTTGGCGCCGTTGGGGAACTCGAAAACGCGGCCAGGCTGTGTCTTGGCAAAGTCCTCATTCTGAGGCATCGAGTACTTGCCGGGTCCACGCCAGGTCTCTACCACCGACTCCTTGAACTCAGTGATGAGACGCTCGTCCTCGTAGGCGCGGAACGAATCGGTGATGGAGAAGCCGAATTGGCGCTGCTTAAACTGGGGAGGCGCGCCGGCGTCGACGGGGGTCTTGTTCTCAACCATAAACGTAGGGATGGGATCGATCTTGGGCTCTGAGGTCTCCCAGAGGCTGCGGATCTGAGAGGACAGCCACAGGCCGCCAACAGGAGACTTCTGAATGGATCGCTTAAGGACCATACCGTCGTGAATCGCTGTGACAGACGTGCTGGAGCCGCCGACGTCGATGACTAGAGCGCTAGCCTTGCCGGCGGCGAAAGCAGCCAGTACAGGCGTTCGGCTGAGCCAGAAAGCAGGGCAGCCCCAGTTCTCCATGATGATCTCAATGGCCTTCTCTCTGGACTTGGCGTTGTTCCAGGGCGCCTCGGTCATCAGAAGCGGGTTCTCTTGCAGAGCCTTCTCCTGTGTCTCGACGTCCTCCATGGCCATGTCAACGTCCCCGTTGGCCGTGCCTTCCACTTCCTCTTTCGGATCATCGTTGAGGCCGTTCTTGGACGGGGGAGTTGGGCGGGCGGGCTGGAGGCGCGTGATGAGCATATGCTCCCAGAGCTTGCTGGCAACATCCCAGTCCTCGACGACGCTGTCGCGTGACATGTAGTTGCGAACCTCGAGGTCGGCGCGGGGAATCAGGCACTCGTCGCCGAAGACAGTGGTCGGGGCATCGGAGGAGCCGACGCGGCCGTAGAAGGACGGGAAGACGGACTTGGGGACATCTTCGCCTGCAAAGCCAGCGCGCGTGGTGCAGTAGCCTGGGTCGAGAACTAGGGCGGAAACCTCGTCTGTTTGCAATCGTTAGATTGGGTGACGCGCATCGTGGAGCGGGAATGACCTTCTTACCTCCTCCGTAAATGTCGGTCGGCTGGAGCGACGATGACAGCGGTTGTTGAGACATTTTTTTCTATTTTTTTTAGACTTATAGATATGATGCGACAATCCACCGAGATGATTGAGATGGTTCGAAGGCGGTGTGGTGGGTTGTTGCGATGCTGCACCCAGTTGAAGATCGCGTCTTGACAGAATTTGGCGCGGTGGTTGGCAGAAGGTGCAAGGCTGAGTCTCCAGCCACAGCCCCACCGTGCCGTAGCGCGACACACTGTACAAGCTCTCGGTGTAAGCTGGTTCACCGAAACATAGCTGTTCGCAATTGCATGTTGCGACATTTTCAATCGATGTTTACAAAACCATCGAGACGACCTTTAGGGCTTTATGGAGAAAGTTTCTCTATCCCATTAATCCGTTCCTATTTCACATACAATTTGAAAGGCGCAGTATACTTGTGAAGCTGCATAAGTGGGTATCTCATATAATTCAAAAACTCGTCAACTCTGGGTAAATTTGCCAAACCCCAAATATCATGTCATGTTACAATATAGTCATCTTCCGACTCGAAATCCCGCCCTTCTCCGTAGAGCACTTCGCAAGCACCAGCCAGCGGAATGTCCATCACAGCGTCTGTCCCCTCATTCCATATATTCTTCCAATTGTACCCTCCCCCGGGAAGCCGGTTATCCCTTTTGTCCCTCGATCTTCTCTTTGGTCCGTCCCTGAGCCGCCCTTTGCTATCAATCACCCCCACTTTAGAAGCTTCATCGACGACTGTCTCAATAGAGCTCAGCGGCAGCGTCAAGATCTCTGTATTGTAGGCCGCGAGCGCGATATAGATGTACACGCCCAGCATCGTCAGGAAGGCTGGGATCGCGAGCGACCACCACCGGTTCGGGTAGTATTCGATTCCCAATGCGTGCAGGAAGGGAGAAGGGAGGTATGACCACAGCAAGTAGACGAGGAAGGTCAAGGTCGAGAAAAGGTACAGCACGAAGCCGTAGTATTCGTAGGTCGGTACCTGCGGCGATGCGCGGGGGAGGGGCTCGAAGTCGTCATCTGAGGCATCAGGGGTCGTCGGTCGCGAAGGTCGGAGGAGCGACGTGAGTGATGGCGAAGGCGGTAGAGGGGTTGGCGGGCGGCCATAGAAGGGGGGTGCGAAGTAGTTGTGGTGCAAGGGTCGCGGGGGCAGCTCCTCGCCGTCGCCACCAGATCCGGACGCAATGGATTCGTCGTCGGAGAGAACTAGGTCTTCCTCGTCTGATGAGAGTGACATTTTGGGCTGCGGGCCCGAGCAGTCGGAGCTCTACTGTCGATATTGGGGCAGTTTGGACGTGGTGTTGCAAGTGGCAGAATTGCGATATCCCAGGCCGGCCCAATTTGCAATCTGGAATCGATCCCCCTCGGTTCCACTTGTGCCCGGGATGTGGACCCGCGTAGTGGGGCCGCATATGTAGATGGCTTGGCGATGATTACATAACTCCCTGCTGTCCAACGGCCATGCTATTTTCGAGATCTTTATCCAAAAGTCGCTCGTTGTTCTAGCAGTAGTCTTGCCAGGCAGCAACAAAATAGATATCAACAAACATGAGGACGCCCCCACAGTTACTCCCATTACATTGAAAAGAGTCATCCGTACAAGGATCCTTTGATACAAATTTTATTACGCCTCTGGTGAAACTATTGTAAGCAACATGCATCGTAGAAAACAATAATCCGGTGTCGTTAAGTGATTCGATTCACCTTGCTTTTTCACTGCACCACCATAACGCAATCGAAATGAGTTTGATTGAAACAGAAGCAGTTCACAACATGTCTTGTTCATGTCAAGCCCGATAGCGCGATACCAGAGAGAGGCAAGATTCCAATCGGGACAGTGCACGTACCAGAAAACCAGAATTGAAGCTACTTGTGGCATTATGTGGTCATCAAGGATCAGTCTATTAAGCTACTGATGTAATGAATCCAGGGTAGCCCGTTCATCGCTAGATCATTTACACCGAAGGTTCTGTTTATCAGCGAAGAAGAAGAAGAAGAAGAAGAAGAAGAAGAAGAAGATGAAGATGAAGAAAAAGGCTTCAAAAAGTCTATTGTATGCAATATAAATGTTTTGCGAAGCCATGGGCTGAATGGAAGTCTATTCAGTACCTAGGTATTACGAGGCAAGTCCACATATATCCATACCCCTTGACGACCATAGCTCCATCTTTCCTGCTGTTCTCGAGACCGCCACCCGTCACCTCCTCAGGAGACCAGCCCTGCCACCCACTTTGGCAGAAATATTGAATCCAATAACCGGCGCCAGCAGCTCCCCGTTCTCCATTGAGGAGTCGGACTTACCAGAGCCCGAGAGCATGTCGGAGCCAGCCTGCATTCATTCGCGTCAGCCACGTCCACTCGAAAGGAGAAACAAATCACCACCAAGAGAAAGACTCACCTCTTCTGTGCCGCGGCTCCTCGATCCAAACCCGGTCCTGCAACCGCTGGCGAATCATCACCGCCTGCGCCCACGTCAACCCAAACCGGGTAGTGTTGTGCATGCTGCACGCCACGACGCCGCATACCTGGCACCGGAAATAGACAGCCCCGTCCCGCGACCTGCAGAAGATGCACTGCGGCGGCATCGGCCGGTTGTTCATATTCTCGACTTCCCATGACGTGGGGAGGTGGTGGTTGCACTGGGGGTCCTCGGGGTGGATCTCGAAAATGGGCCACGCACGCGCGCCCTCCTGGGGTCTACGACGATGAGCTCTGGGGTCGGCTCTCCAGTTTCGATTCTCGGGCTACAGGTCCTAGTCAGCGAAGTGTCGTCTAGTGGCTGGGGGGGTCGAGTTAACCTCAGTGTTGGACCCGTCTGTATAATACATAACGATGCTATACCGGCCTCGACCCTGTCGATTGCGGTCTTCGCGCTGCATATCCTCCATATATGGCCAGTCCATCATCTGAAACCTCTGCTGATGCATTGCCTGGAGAAGTTCTACAGTCCAATAGTTAGCAGGCGGTTCCCAGACCCTGTCAAAGATAGCAGGCGGAAGCTGGACTCATTCAGCTACAATTAGTTGGAGCGGGGCGACCTGCTAGACGAACATTGAACGGAGCTGAGGCTGTTCTTATAAGCCTTGCACACAAGCACACGCACTTTCTCTCTGTTCTCTTCTGACTGGGATGGGAGTCACTGACCTGGGGGTATAGGTTCCCACAAACCATCATCCGCTTGTGGACGAAACAAGCCGGCTTGTGGCAGTTGCATCGGCTGCTCTTGCGGTACTGGTTCCGGTCCCGGTAGCGGTAGTGGTTGAGGTAGAGGCTCAGGCTGAGGCACACCCTCCTGCCGCACAATCGCGGGAAAGTCGTCCGGGTTCTGCCCCTGATGATATCTCCCGTCTCGCTCGCGCACCGGGACACGGTTTTGCCCCTCCTGTGGATAGAGCCCGCACCCACGAGTACATCCTCCATGCCAAGCGCCGCCGCATTGGAAGCAGAACTCATACCCGCACGGGCACCTGCGGTGATCGGAAAAGAAAGGATACTCGTTAGCGGACTCGAGGGCGTGGGTTGCGCATTGTATAGACACTTCACTTACGTCATGTGATGGCATCCGGCCGCCAGCTCGATGATCCGGCGACACCGCGGGCAAGGCGAGAGGCTATACGCGTCCATGGCGTCCATCAGCATCTCGTCCTCATCCTCCTCCCGGCACGGCCGCCCAGGATGTATGGCCTGCCTGCACCGTCGACACGTCCCCTCGCCGCACGCCGGGCACTCCATCTCATCCTCCCTGACGTGCGGTCCCCGAGGCGGTATAAACGACGCACACGCCGGCCTGGCGCAGTACACCCTCTCGTCGCCGCTGGTCTCGTTCTCCACCCTGATCTGCTCGTACAAGCCCAATAATCCAGGACGGCTCCGGTCCGCCAGCTCGATTTGCTCTTGGTGCAGCGGCTCGCAGCACCGCGGAGGCCAGCTCCCCGGCCGCAGGCCCGCCCGGATACAGGCCCGAAGGCACCGCGGGCACATCCAGCAACCGCAGGGGAGGCAGCTCTTGGGCTGCCGGCCACCGGCGCAGACAACACAGTCAGGCCCTCGGTCATCGCCTTCTTCGGCCTCAGAGGACGCTGCACTGCTGGGCCTACTTTCGGCGAGGAGGCGGTTGCGCTCTTCCCAGGGGATGTACCGTCTTGGCCCGGGCTCGCGGGGGTCGTTGGGATTATCGTCGCCGTTGGGTGATCGTCGGTCTACAGCGATGCTCTGCTGCATGGCAATGGCGAGCTGCATGTCGGGGTCTGCCATTTGCAGAGCCAGAGTGGCCGCGCTCTGGACTTCCTCATCAGTAGCGAAACGGAGAGTTTCTAGGTTCAGGAGACCATGGCCGATGATAAGGTTTGCGATGTCATCGTCGAGGCGTTGGAAGAGTTCCATGTTTTGTCACGTAATTATTATCTCGGAATCTTGGCGTATTAGCCACTTGCGTTCGAGGCCTCGTTATTCTTGAATCCTGCCGAGGTCACAGCTACGACATGATATGTCTTTCCGGTGAGTTGAGCGCTGAGCATATTCCACTACCAGATAACATAGATGCTAGGATGATGCGCAGTAGGAGTGACTGGTTGTGAGTGATTAGGTAGAAACGAACAAGGGTATCGAATTGCGTAGACGGTAATTGTGCTTGGTATACTGACAGAACCAAGTCAGTGCATTGGTTTACTCGTCGTTTGGGACCAGTCATCGAGGACAGATCTTATGCCGCCCTTAACATCCTCGGACTAACGCAAAAGATTCTGAATTTACAAAGAGTTCGGGTGAAAGCCATTGAGGTGAAGTCAACCCCTAAGCATGTGGGAACGTGTCAAGGTTTTGGCCAATTATATATCCCCAGGTTAGCCATCTAATGCAGGAAGCAATAACACAACACCGGGAGTTTATAGCTTGTAGTTTTCTTGGGGTCCAGAGCTGTCCCTAAGTGTATGCTTGCTTTAACAACACATCTACTCAACCGCGTTGGGTAGAGTGTGTTCCGTGTCAGAGACTGGTGCTGGGGATTCATGGTGTCACGGAAACAGCAAAGGGCACAGACGCAAAGCTGGACTAAGTTGAGTCAAATTCGTAGATAACAACGGGACTACTACGCCCCCTTCCCATCTTCTCTGCTGGTCAAAGCTGCCTTTCCTACACCGTCTTCTGTTAGGTGTTTTAAGCCCGAAGAGGTGGTTTGGTAAATCGGCTTCTTTGCGCCATGAACGGTGACTCCGTCGTTAAGACATGGGATTTTCGCGCCAATGTCGACCGTGATTTCTTTCTTCCTTGTCCAAGTGACGTGGTGGCATTTCCCATTTCCACTTGTATCATCCCCCCCCCCCCAAAAAAAAAAACCAACCGTCCGTCGGTGGTCATAACCAGTAAACCCCCCGTAAACTCCGTTCATCATAAACTCCAACGCTGCTATCCGGGATATGATTCGGAAATAAGAAAACAAAGAAAGAAAAATCAATGGAAGAAGAAGAGTGGCAATGGTAACCAGCACATTTAAAGTGGATAATGGGTATAATGATCAATAGCTGAAGTCCACATTGCCCATTTGGGACAGCATCTTCGCTTCTGCTGAAGTCGAGTTCCCAGTAGCGCCCGTGTTTGTTGATGTTGCCGAATTTGAGTTTGTTTGTGATGATTGTGTGGTTGAGTTGGTCTGCGTTTGCTGCAGTTCATGTTCTGGCGGGGGCTGACCGCTTGGTGACCAGCCCTCGTCTAGCATTTGTTGGAAACTCCAACTTGGTTCGAACCTGGTGCTGTTCCAGGCGTAGTCGACACGTTCGTACATTTCGTCAATCTGCTCCAGACTGATCTTACTGGTCTCGAAGACCATGCACCACACAAAAAGAACAGCCAATATACAAAAGGCACCCCAGAGGAAGAAGATTTTGGGGCCGATATCAGCCGAGCCGGCCCCCTGGCCAACCATGAACGGTGTGCCGTATGCAATGCCGAAGTTCAGCAGCCAGTTTGAGGCGGTTGATATCGAGTTGGCCTTGGCACGGACCTTCAGGGGATATATCTCGGACGTGATGACCCAGCACACGGGTCCCCACGATGCTGCGAAGAAGAATATGTTGACGGCGCAGAAGACGATGAGTATCGTCTGGGCGGCCTGCTGCAGGTTCTCTCCGGCTGCCGTGGTAAAGGAGGCAATGAGAAGCTGGCAAACCGCCATGCCCATGGCGCCGACCATGAGAAGCTTGCGTCGACCCCAGGATTCAATGACGAGGAGACCCGGGACAGTCGAGACAACATTGATGATGTTAATAATGAGAGCCTTCAAATAAGGGTTCTCGACCTTGGCGCCATCGAAGAAGGATGTGCTGTAGTACATGATGAAGTTGATACCTGTGAGTTGCTGCAGCATCTGCAGGCAGCAACCTGTAAGAGTTCGTCGGCCGAGATGAGGAGACCCATAAAAGATTTCCTTGTAGGAGTCTGGGCCAAGCGTGAGTTCATATTCGTGGTTGGCAACAATTTCCTGAAGCTCTTCGAGCAGAGCAGGGTGCGTAATGTCGAGACGCCGAAGGCGGCTGAGGGAAAGACCTGCTGCCTCCGGCTTGCCCTGCTTAACGAGAAAGCGTGGTGTCTCGGGAAGAATGAGAAGACCGACGGAGATAACGACAGCCCACACTAGCTGAAGGCCGAGAGGTACCCGGTATGCGGCGGCGGTATCCAACTTCTCGGTCAAGATGTTGACGAAGGATGCAGACAATAGACCTATCGTGATGGAAAGCTGATAGGCACATACGAGAGTACCTCGAATCCACTTCGGGGCCATTTCTGACTGGTAGACGGGCACGAGCACCGAGATGGAACCAACTCCGATACCAGCAAAAAACCTGCATGTTTCATCAGCAACGCGCTCCACGGCAGATGGACAATGGTATTGTTTCCCCCAGCATACCTTCCAACCAAGAGCATTGGAATATCGTGCGCGCAGACTTGGAAAATGCCGCCAAAGCTGAAGACGCCGACGGACAGGATAAGCGAGATGCGACGGCCCCAGGCATCACCGATGGGCGCGGCCAAAAGGGCGCCGAGGACGGTACCGGCGCTCAGGATCGCAACGATGATGGAAGATTCGGCGGGCGAAATGGTGGGCAGGCCGTTCTCGGTGTAGCCGGTCGTGAAGTCTCGTCGGAAAGCAGTCATGGAGATGATGCCGTTGATTGTTCTAAAGTCCATCGCGAATCAGCCTCATAGATTCCACACCAAGCCCCACGAGGAGCGGCCATGGCGTGCCTCGTATCCCTCTTGTGCCTCAGGACACACAGTCGCGAATCGGGGTTCGGGGGGGGCTGCTTACCCAGTGTCGTAGCCAAAGAGCAATCCGCCCGAGGCGACGAACAGGCCGACCATGATAGCCGGGGCCGACGAGCCGGCGACATTGTCGGGCTTCTGCCAGCCCATGGCTATCGCCATGGTGAATGGGACTGTGGGCGAAGTCAGTCCAGAAGGAGATCGTGGTGCTACGAGAGGGCGGTTCTCTCAGATGTCGTGGGGAAGTGAGGTCGAAATGGGCCGGCGACCATTTGACTGACAGGCGGCAGGCGAGTTCGAGGTGGTGAATCGACAAAGTGTGGGTAACGATGAACGGATAGGATGGAACAGACGGGCAGATGGGTGTGGAGTAGGAAGCAGGGACGGACGGGCGAGGGAAGGAAGAAAGTCGGGCGGTCGGGACCCGGTTAGTTTACTTAGGCAGGTCAGTCGGAAGGAAGGGCCAAAGCCACAGCGAACCCAGAACACCACGGAAGCGTGAGAGGGAGAGAGAGAGAGCCTGCCAGGGGGGCCAGCCCAGAGAGGACGGTACAGAGAAGAAAAGCAAGCTAGCGCGAGTCCGGGGCGTGTGGGACGCGGAGAGGGGAGTTAGAAGGGGGGGGGGATGAGCCAGTCAGGACGACTAGAGAGGGGTGAGAATTGTGGAGATGGAGGGCGAAGGCAGTACGGATAGAGAGGGTAACCAACATGGAAGACGGTCGGCACTGTGCTGCTTTTGCTGTCAGGAAACCACTTACCCCCTAGAAGAAGAACAGAAGCAGGAGCGGTCGGCAGCAGTAGGAGTGGCAGGGGCAGAAACAGAAGGAGGAAGAGAAGGAACAAGTTCAATCATGCAGTGCAGTCCTCTCTTCAGGCCTCGCTCCTGTGCGGTGAGTACCGGCTCTGTATTACTTTACCTACTATACAAGTGCCCCCCCCCCCCCCCCCCCCCCGGGACTTGTGGCTGAGGCCATGATTGGCTCATTTCTTTCTTGGGAGCATCTGGTCATGCTCAGCTCGCCAGTCACATACTGTACCTTCTCTACAACGCTATACTCAATCGAGGCATAGTAGATCAGTCTTTGTTCCCTCCTTGACGTAAAAATGGCGGGAAGGAATGTGCAGCCATGTACCTAGTGTATACTAACCTGAGCACGGACGAGGGCGTTTTGTACTGCGTTTTCGCTGCCAATCCTCTGTTCTGCCGTCCCATGAACAGTCTCTGTGGACGGTAGGCGGAGGTGCTTCGTAAAGGGTTTTGGTACGAATACAGGTAGATGGATTGCTGACAACACGAGTAGCTACAGTTGCTCCTTTGTGACCCGACCTTTTGGTTGGGCTGATGAATGAAAGGTTCGGTCGAATGTCTGATCACCATCCTTGTCCTGTCTGCCTGCCCCAGCTGCACGTGGAAGAAACTCACGGTCGGGAATGAGGGGGAGGACACAGACTTGAGGGTTGCAATTACAATACAGTTCAGAGATGCAGAAGCACACCTGGGGGTCGTCTGGCCTGATCTGACTACCGTCCGCACTCGTCAGTTTCGTAAACCACTAGCGATCAGGCTAACAGTAAAGGGTATAGCGGCCGTTGAGAAGCAGCTAGCGTTACGGCAGAAACAGAGATCAGAAGTAGGGACTAGTCACGTGCTGCATACGTTAGCAGGAGGTTTAGGTGCAAGGCTGGTATGGGTGGGTTGACCGCCTGCTATCTGCAGCTTAGTGCGGTGCTTATACACTAGCTTCTACTGGTAATTCCCTAGCTATATTCAGCTAGCCTACCTACTAGTGGCTTACGAAACTGACGAGTGCGGACGGTAGCCCAGTGTGTCCCGAGTGTGAGGAACGCGTCCAAAGTCGACAAATGTCAGGCCAGGCAAGGTACGGACAGGACAGTGCAGCACTGTATGCATCCTGCCGAGTCAATAACGCTCCTTCTCATGTCCTCGGAATCGAGTCCTTGGCCTTGGTTCCCTCGTCTTTCACTGGAAGACAATCATGTCGGGGCAGGCGAGCCGGCAGACAATTAGCTCTCATTTTCCGGCACTGTACCTACGGTAACGTTGAGCGGTTGAGCTCACCCGTCTTAATCAAGCCACCAACTGTCCGGCCGTCTCATGGCTTCTGCCAAGTTGCAAGATGCAGCAGGTGCTGGGTTAAGGCAAAGTAGGCCGGGTGCATGGTAACCGTGCAGCATGTGGCCTGCAAGCCACAATACTATGAGTGAGCAGGCCAAGTCAGTCTTGTAACTTTGGGAGAAGCGTTGCGAGGTACAGACGCATCTTTGACGGCCTGCTGTGGACTGAACATGGTGAGACCAAACCGGACGGGGCATTCGCCCGACGCCCTGTGTTTGTCGCCTACATGTGTTTTTGCATGACCCGTCAATGTCGATGCTATCGACCTCAGCGAAGAGGCGCGGCATGTGAGCATCACGGTGAACCATCTCGCACACTTCATGTCGGCGACAGGCGGTTGCAACCTTATCCTGCCAGCACGGCCGTTGAAGTCGGCACACATGGTGTTGGCCCTAGTTGGGGAAACTTAATCAGAGCATGGGAGGGGGCACAAGGCACTGTGTTCCCGAGCCGATTCCCAATCACATACCACCAACCCAGCTCGCGGACTTGTGGTAAGGCACAGTGTGACCCCCCCAGTCATCCGACAACAGCCGGGCGGCAGGGGTGGCGGACAAGGGATTGGCAAATGGCCTCCACTAGCGCAGGCATATTGCGGGGAAACTCCGCCTACCGCCTGCCATAAGCAGACAAGTACCTCAAGGTATACGGAGCACCTAGGTACCTAGGTCATGGCCTGGACCGGCAAGCCGACGCTCCTTCTCCAACCCCAAGGTACGTGGCGCTACTAGCGCTGCCTCTACACTTGCAACGCGCCATCGTCTTCTCCTCACCTACACTACATGTTCGGCTGGAAGCAACTTGCATTTTTTCTAATGACTATTGTTTGACTACCTTTCAGTTCAGCCGGTGCGCTGGCTGGCAAGTCTGTTACATTGGCCACTGCATCCTTCTTCTGCCGGTTGTATTTCTTAGACTCTGTCCATTCAGAGATCCTCCTTATCCGAACCCAGTACTCCGTACTAGGTAGTCTATACGGAGTACAACGCACTCAACTCGCGACCTCACCCAATGACGCTGCAGGTGCACAGCACAACTTTTCTCGCTCCTGCTCCATCATCATTTCTTTCAGCAAAGTTGGTTTGGTTCCGTTCTACCCGTCTCAACGCTACCGTCTCTACAACTATTGGCACCCGTCATCTCTCGGCTCTAAGGTTTCCTCTTACATGCGGAGGCTGAATCCAAACCTACAGCTGAGACATGCACTTGGACGACGAGGTGGTGGCTTAGGAGCTGTTTGAAGTCACATTCCAGATCATGTCTGCGTTGGTTTCGGGCGTTCGCCATTCCTGCAAGTATTGCAGTGCCACAGGTCTCGACAACTTGGGTGCGTAAATTACACTAGTACCTAATTAGTCACCCCCCCCTGCCGCACAGTTGTGTATACCAAGCCCAGCATCGATAGTCACTTTCCTATTTGAATTAACAAGGCGGGTTTCTTCTTGTCGCAATGTCGGGATGGATTGCGTTGCTGCTTCGTCCAGTGTTTGGATTTCTATCTATTCTGAGTACCTCTATCGACATTGGCTCCTTTGCACGGGCTTCCTTAACCTCTGAAGTCTAGGCTCCTGTTCCCCGTTAGGAAAACGAAATGTCCTTCAAAGAAAAAGAGGGGGAAAACAACTCCCTGATGGACAACAATCATCTTGTGGTGGCCTAGATTTCGAAGTATAGCACTCAGTCACCTCAGTTTCAATAGGTTGAGTGACTGTCACATTATAGATATCTAGTATAGGCTGATCCCGCTTACGGGTAAGCGAGAAGGTGCACCAGATTACGCCACTGCGAACACATAACTCTTTTCAATGTATGATACAAGCACCGATGATTTTTACGGAAGCTCGTCCTGCTGGTAGATGCTGCTTTGCATGCAGGCGAAGGGGGACGGCATCCCGTAGGGCGGTCACTTTTTGACACACCACTGCTTTTCCTAGTATCTCTCGAGTAGGTTGTTTGCTTGACAGCATACCTACTCACCCGCACCAACTTTGGCTCATTTTACGTCAGGAGCCCCGGTCATTATGTTGTTAGAAGCATGGGAAAGGGCTTCTTGGCCTGGACAGCACTCCGAGGGACAACCCTTCAAGCTGCAGGATACCCGTAGCGGTCGGTCAGCTCTCTATACGAGGTCAACACGAGGTTATCTCCGGGGTCTAAATGGAGGGCGGAGCGGATGCGCACAATGATGGGTTGGTTCCCGCCGATAAGTCCTGGCTGTATACACTAGGTATGGCATTTGGACAGTGATCTGATTTCGGGATCGGCATGCAGAGATCGACGGCACCGACGTGGGCCGCTGCGCGGAACCTTGAAAGCGAACACCAGGCTAACCTCAGGCCTCTGCACAAACGGACCCTGCATGGAGTGAGAATGGGGGAAAGGTGCCACCAGCCGCCCCGCGGGATTTCTGGGTCGGCTCTGCGTGTGTGTGCACTCCCCTCAGCCCCTTCTCCGCTGTCAACATTAGCAGAACAGGCGCGCTTGGCGCCCTTCTTTGGCTGCTGGTTGTAGCGCCTGGTCGCGGGCCAAGAGACTCATTGGCCAACTGATGTCGTGGTGTGTTTTGAGCTTGTGGGCGAGGTTGATCGGTACATTGCGACTGACGACGACGATGACAGTGGAGATACGCGCCTTTATGCCTCTGGTGGGCATGGATGGCCGATATGTAAAGGAATGCATATTACCTGTTAACTAGACATATGGCGCAGTTGTTCGATAGCAGCTGCGCCGTCCTGTGCAACCGATTCCATCTCTGGATCTCGCATCTTCCTGAACTCCAGCCCTGTTGCCACAGCACAGCCGTGAGCAACCCTCCCTCAGGCGGCATACACATCGTGATCGTCCTACAATCGGCCAGCTTGGGAACTATCCAGCTGTTCTTTGGGTATGTTGACGGATCGCCCAAGTGTCAAGAGTCTGTCATGCATAGCCATTGCACAGGAAACACTTGAAACTAGTTAGCCGAAAAGGACACAGCCGACGGATATCTACCAGGAGGCTTTTGATATGGCCCGTAAGGCGTCACAAGCGTACAGTTCCAGCGGCGATAGATGCGTTCAGCACCGTCCCCGTGGACGGGTGGGGGAAAGGCAGGAGGGTGTAGAAGACGCCATTCTTTATCTCGGGGAGCAAGATGAGGAGTGCGATGTGTGCCGTTCCGCGATGTGGACATGGTGATATCCGCTGCGCTCCGGCCTCAGTTGTCGTGCCCGGCATAGGAGGATGCGGGTCTCTGCTTTTGTATGCTCGCTCTTCTTGAGACATTGATCGTTGCAGCTGATGGCCAGGGAGTACACCAATGCGGGCTTCGACGTGGTACTCATGGAAGGAAGTTTGGGTGCTATTCTTGGTTCCGCGGCGGGAGGACCTGAGCCGAGTGTGTCACGATACAGACTGGTGTACCATGGGGTTGTTCCAGGTGCAGAGAGCCATGTGGCGGGAGACTGTTCGAGGGTAAAATGTTGCGATTCACCCCGGGGCGGCTTCTGATACACCTTGGCAGGACATCTTATGATCAAGCGTACGCCGTCACCCGCTGAAGGTTTCTATCTCTTAGAGGAGGCACTATGACTTGAGGTGTGGCCGATTTAGTCTACCAAAGATCTCAATGGGTTGATGTAGAGTCCTAGACCTTGAGCTTCCTGCCAGCTACAGTATATAGTCCTTTGGGGTTTTCTCTGTATGTTTCCCTCTTCCTATCTCCCACCTCCTGCTAACGTGGGTTCTTTTCCACGTATCTTGATTCTATCCCCAGGTAACAAACATAATGCCGCCTCCCAGAGCTTCTTCCAACAGCAACCTGCATCGTTCGTGTATAGTTCGACTTTCGACCAACAAACCATCGGCCATTTACATGCCTTGTTATGGAGAGGCCAGTGAGGTTATCAAAGCACAGACTGCAATGCTGTTTCAGTCTTCTGGCCATCCCATTTTGACTTCTGCCGTTGGATTCGTTCCGGGGAAGGTGGCACTTGGGGTTTTTCCAAACTTCGCCGGCTAGAATAAGCAGTAGCCCTTCCCTGTCTGTGACCATAGAGAACACAAGTCGATCAAGATCCCCAACTTGATCAGTGACGATAGAGCCTCTCTGAGGATTCGAAACCACTGCAGTGATCGGTATCGAAGTCTTGATCTCAAGGCAGATCGTCGTCGTCGTCGTCGTCTTGGCTAGTGGGCCCACGTCGCTCCCGGTGTCTGATTCTGTCTCTTTCTATGCAGTTGTTGACGCCAAGGTGCTTATTAAAGACGAGCCCCTTGCAGCCTTCCATAGGGGACCAGCAAAGATTAGTGATGACGTCTACGAACATCGTCCTGTTCGGGACGAGGCGGCGCTCCATGACGGGGTCGCAGTGTGTCAGGCGGACGCGGTTGAGAGCACTGCAAGAGGAGCAATAATACTGCTTGATGTAGCACATTATCAGTAAAGGCCCTAGGTTCACACACAGTTTGAAGTGTCTGCTTCCAGCGTAGGAGTTTGCCTGTAAGTCCAGTGTACTCGACATGGTTTTCCCCGACATCGACATGCCAGCCGAGAGAGATATATATATATACATAGTTTCGGATTGCCATCTCCACGAACTTACTATATTGGTAGCGATTGAAGATCTTGCACAATTTTCTATCATACTTCGGTGTACCATGATAAAGGTTGGGTTCGAGGTTTCCAAGGGACCTGTAGAAGGTGGTACCCAAATGATGGATTTGGTCGGGAGGGGGGAAGCCAGCGGCAACGAGTGGCGTGTTCACAAAGGTCCTATCAGACACACCAGCAGGATCGTCCCAAGCATCTTTAACTACAAAAGTGATTTCATGTGAAAAATTGCTACGTTGAATGCTTATTTGGGTTGTTTTCTGTCATGAAATATGCATGCCATGTTTGCGGAAGCCTCCAAAAGCATGCGTGCGAGAAACAAGAGCAACCATAAAGGGCCCACGGTCCTGGCGAACTATGATTCGTATCGTCTGCTACTATGTAAGCGAATTGTTCAACCCTTTCCGCGTCAGAGACTCGATATGTGGCGAACCATGGTTCGCGAGGCTCAATTTGTGGCCTCTAGATGCCACGACCGCCGGTCACCAACGTATTTACATACCACCTGCGGATCGTACTACGTGACGCGCGAATCTGTCTACTTGACGAGAAGGTCTGCCCAGGCTTAGACATATTCACCCATACTATATTCAAGATGAACAACCCTACTCCTCTTCTGAAGACTCCATCAGCTCGGCGCACTTTCGCCCCAAGGTTCGTTTGCGGCTGACCGAATTGCATTCTTCTATTTCACCCCCCCACATTAAACTCATGCCATGTAACCTCTCTCTCAATCAGATAGTTTCCGGTGGTTAAGGCCAAGAGCGGCAAACGAGGCTATCTTTCAGCATTTGTAGGTGTAAACATGCCAACCGGAGCATCGTCCGATCCCTCAACCTCTCGCTTGCCACCTCCTGCCAATATTCCCCAGAGCCAAGAGTCTGGATTCTCCCATACTCTCGACTTCGTCTCTAGTATCCTAGCACAACTCACTCCCTGATACCCCAAGCTTTCACTATGTTCGGAAACCCACATCTTGGGCTTGCCGCCAGCGATGCGGGTGAGACTCTGCTGAACCTTTCTTGTTTTAGCGACTCATACGTTTGAATGTTGGCATGTTAGTCAGGGGACGTGGTAAGCTGTGAGTGGGTGCGATCGCCAGCGGGGACCCCGGAATATGCACAGTAACGCAGGCCGATTGCTCAAGGGGGAGAGCCTTGGCTGCGATATGCACGATGTAGAAGGGAATTTGCATGTGAACAGAGATAGGTGGAGGTCCATTGGATCCAAGAAATATAACACGTATCTATGAGCCCAATCCCAAGATAGTGTCGACTTATGAAGAAAATGCCCAAATTCGAAAGTGCGCCAATGCACACCCATTACTCCGGTTATCACTGTTTTACCCAAGCCAAGTTCCATCGTGCCCGCGTCATAGATCATCCTACAGCCTAAATCTCCAAACTTGGCGTCTGGCCCTTGACGCGGCCAATAACCTGCTGTGGTGCGTACTTGGGGATAACCTCGTCGTCGTGCAGCATCTCAAACTCCTCGGTAGCGTCACGGCCCATGAAGTTCATGATAGCCTGGGGGCCACCAGGGTGCTCTTCGAGCCAGTTGGACAGGTCCATTACAACACCCTTGACAACGACCCACAGGTCCTCCTTGGTGTTGTGCTTGGCAACTTCCTCCATAGTGAACTCCTTCTCGGGAACCGTGAATTCCTTGGGGTTGTTGGGCTTGGACGCCTTCTGGCCGTCCTTGACGGGTGTGGGGCCAGCGGCCGAGGTGGTCTGCTGGGCAGGGATATCCTGGCCGCCAGCGCCGACGGCGTTGTTCCAGTCGATCGTAACACGACCGGGCTGCGTGGGGTCTATGTGCAGGGAGATCTGACCAAGACGAGACGCAGCGCCTCCGGCGCCGCTGAGGGCTTGCTGGAAGAGGTAGTTGCTGGCAGTGTCACCAGCCACACGGCCATAAACGACACATCCGAGAAGGGAAGAACCACCGAGACGGTTGGCACCGTGGACACCACCGGCAAGCTCACCGCAGGCAAACAGACCGTCGAAGGGCTTCTTCTCACTGTTGAGGACTTGGGCCTTGTCGTTGATCTCAATACCACCCATGGTGAAGTGGAGAACAGGCTCCATCAGTGCGACGTGGAAATCGTCCTTGATGTCGAAGGGAAGGTTGTGGAAGAACTTCTTGCCCCAGGGGTCCTTTTGCTTGCCTTCGGCGATGGCGTTGTAGGTGGTGAAGGTCTTTTGGAGGTGCTCGGGCTTGCAACCGATCTCCTTGGCCAGCTCGGCGCCGGTCATCTTCTTCATCAGGCCGCGGCCAGAGTAGTGGCGAGTGTGGAAGTCAAGGACCTTGGAAGCCTTGGAGTTGAGGACAAGCCTGATGGGGAACTTGTTCTTCTCCTTCTCCTTCCACATCATACCCGAGACGTAGTCACGGTGGCCAAGCTCGTCGCAGAAGCGGTCGCCGTCAGCGTTAAGCAGAAGACCACCCTCACCACGGAGGGCCTCAGCAGCCAAAAACTTCCACTTGGAGCCGGGGTCCTTGGGGTCGACCAAGCCAGTTGGGTGGACCTGGACCTTGTCCATGTCAATACCGTTACCGCCGATGGCCATGACCATCTTCTGGCCGTCACCAGTGGCGTGGGTGCCGTTAGTGGTGGCGAGGCCGTAGGTATCAGGACGGTGCTTCTTGAGCAAGGAGGTCTCGCTGAAGTCGGCGGCGTAACCACCGGTGGCGAGGATGACGGGACCATCAAGCTTCTGCTCCTCTCCGTTGAACTCGTATGTAACTCCGGTGATGGTGTTGCCGTCCTTGTTCAGGCCGGTGACGCGGGCCTTCTTGATGATCTCGACACGACCGGGCTCAGTCTCGGCGAGCTCCTCAAGTCTCTGCATCAGAGCGTAGGTGATGGCCATACCGGGGAACTTGGCATCGTGTCCACGGTGGGTACGGGGTTGGGAGTGACCTCTAGAGGGGCTGTTAGAGGGCGGATCGTGTGAGAGCAAGGAGTTCAGTAATCGACTTACCCTAACCGCGAGACGAGGGTGAGGTCCAGGTTGAAAACATCTTGAAGCCACTCAACGGCGGCGGCGGACTTGTAGGTAAGGACCTTGATGAGGTCGGGACGAGCCTTGTCACGCGCAGACTTCAAGGTGTCATCGTAGAACTGCTTGACGCTGTCGGCGATGCCGGTGTCGACCTGCGTCCGGGTCAAGGCACCGTTGATGCCGGAGGTGGCCTTTGTGGAGTTGCCACCGAAGAAGCCTATGCGACAAGTCGTCAGCTTCGCGACAGGCAAAAGACATGAGGGACCGAGAAACACTTACCCTGCTTGTCGAGGACAACAACGTTGCCTCCAGCGAGGTAGATGGTATGGGCAGCACTCAAGCCGGACACTGGTGTCGCGGATTAGCATGTGAAGGGCGAGACGAGGCGACCGACATTGAGCCGCGAGGGGCAGGCGGGATTGAGAGGGCAACTTACGACCACCGCCGACGACGATAACTCTTGGTGCCATTTTGGTTAATGTGTGCTGATGCGCTCCGGAGGACAGGTATGGAGTACAAACGAAGAGGATGGATGGGGGGAAGAGAAGGTTGTGGGGGAGGAGGAGAGTTTAGATGGAGAGGTTTTAAGAAGAAATCCGAGAAGAGAGGCGTCCCTTCGTTGTTGCTACGCCGAGGAAGACGGCACAAAGGACGGGCACGAGGTATCGGTTTGGGGCCGAATGCTGGTTCTGGTACTTCTTGGGGGGGGGGGGGGGGGGGGGGTCGGTAGGTGTAGCAGTACAGAGCCCGTCGCGCTGACACGGCGACTCGTGAGCCGAGGTCGAAGCACTGCGGAGGAAGCAGGGGGGGGCGGGTTAGCATTGGAGACTTTCATGGGACGACACGACTGAACCGCCCGCCATACTAGTCGGTTTTGGGCTGAATTTGGGGGGGGAGGGGTCGGGGTAGGAGAGGGCTGGGGGAGACTAGGTAGTTAGTCTGGGGCCCTGGGGATGCATTTGGGGGACTCGGAGGGGAGAGCTGGCGTCGCCCATTGCGGATAAACCAGTAAGATCGAGGCTTTTGGTCAAGCGGTGGCAACAGAGTGGAGGGACACAAAGGGGGCGGGAACAATGGGCACTTGAGTACCTACCTACGTAGGTACCTAGGTAAAGCCTGGAGTGCCCCTAGCGGGCTGCGCTGCTTGGGGGCGATTGTGGGGAAACTAATTCACCAAGAATGTTGTCTGCTGTTTCTGTGTTTTTCTTTATCCTCCCAGTTGCAGTAGCAAATAGAGATCAACAGAAAATCATAATGACTATGAAGAGTCAACAGACCTCGCCTTGTACCGAGACGACGCGACAGGTAATTGTGACCGATTCGTGAGGGGATTCTTTTTATAACCTTACTATGTATCAGTAGAAGCTCTAGCAATTGGGGCGACCAGGCCCCCCTCCACTGTCCTCTCGCAGTAATTCTGGCCGAGATGGACTTGGGGGTAGTGGACCGCGACATTACAAAACTGGGGGAATTGTGGGGTGCGGCTAATCGGGTGGCTCTCCAGCTGCTGCTGCTGCTGGGCTACTCTACTATGTAATTGCTTGCTGCTTGTCAAACAGGAGAGTCCGCATTGGAGGGAGAGTTACCTAGTCTGTCAGTCGTGAAGCCGTTCAACCCAAGGCTAGAGAAGGGATGGCAGGGAAGATGGCAACTTGCTAGCTCCAACTGTGGACTTTCACGAGGCAATTGGAAGTAGTGTACATACCCAGCAAGGCAGCGTGCTGTCGCGGAAAAAAAAAAGCTTCCGAAGATTTTTGGGGGACAGTTTCAGGCCGTTCCTTGGACCACACGTCGTCGTCTTTTTTGACATGTGAAGGTCACTTTGGTCACGGGTGCCTCTCGTCCCGTCCGAAGCTTAAGGTATCCCGCCCACCTCTCAACACCAGACGTTGATCCCTCTTGTTGCCCCTCCCCACAGACGTGGACGAGATTTGAGCTAGTCTACCGGTAGAGGCCTCGTGTCGAACGTCGACGGGTAATGCCAGGTGATGGATGAATCTTCACGGGCATAAGCACCATCCATGGGACATGTTCCAAAACCCTTCTTCAGATCCTCTAGCCTGTGCACCTGCATCTGAGGCTGTGGCTGCTCGAGCAACCTGGCGAAACGAAGTGTCTTTTCTTCACAAGTCTCATCCACTCACACCACGCCTCGCCCACCTGTCTCGACTAACTCCGTCTCCCCACACGGATGCGCGGCGAATGCCTACCAGCAGGTCATATGATGCCCGGCCCGGAACTTTTAGCACCTGACCGAGGATCTCTCACTGCATTGCCGTCCCCTCTTTTCGTCGCTGCTGGGCCGACCATAGCGTCCCATTCTAGCCTTCCTCCTCCGCAGCGCACTCGTGAAGAATTCTATCCTCCGCGCAAGGCCATGTCCAATCGTGGGGGAACCTTCTGGCGTATGTTTAGAGGCTGGGCGGGCCGGTGTAAACCAGTATGCACTTGCATGTGATAGGGGATCTTGGGCGTCAAAAAGCGCGGGCTGTGCGGGCATTCTGGGCAGGTCAGGTGCACTTCCGCTGACGGTAAAGCACTCGGCTTGCCACCCGCCCAGTCGAATTCGTCTCAGTTCAACCTTTCATGATTCATGAGAACTGGTTGGTTCCTGAGGATGTTGATGTCCATGTTGGTGCTGTCGACAGCTGTTTATGTTGGGGGATCTCAAAATGCCCCGTTTCCAATACAGCAATAATTCCCGAGCGCTCCTCTTCACCTGCGCCGGTCTGTCTGCCTGCAAACCCCCAGAACCGATAACCCGACCAAATATCCTTGTGGAGATTTACCTTCTCCACAAATGTGCGTTCCTACGAGACAAAAGGCTCCAAAGGGCCCAGAAGGCCCAGAGACATTGCGGACGTCTACGGTGTGCCCCGGCGACCATCCGGAATGCGATAAGCTAAGCTCAATCAATTGATAAAGCGTCATCGTCTCCTCAAGGAACGCTCATGTTTCCAAACCGAGGGGTATCGTGTATCGAGAGGCGGCGTGCAGCTCCAGTTTCGTGTTCTGTTTAACAATTTTTGTGTAGGCAGTACATAAAACCACTGTCGGCGGAGGCGGCTACTACAGTGACATGTAATAAGTCTGGCTCACCACACAATGTGCCATTATTACATGTCACGGTAGGTAGGTATACAAAGTACGCTTGCGCTGTGTATTGTTGAAGCAGGGATGATGTCATTCATGTACGTGAATGGCCAATCAAGGTCCCGATATCATTGAAAAAATCAGGTTCTGTGGGGAGTTCGGAGCCGCAGAACCGCATCATGCCCATGATAGTCTGAGCTGGTGGTTCACAAGCCTAGCGCACTGCCTTCGTGAGATGCAGCCGGCAGGAACACTGATTTTGACGCACACGGAAACCTTTCGAGACAGAAGCTAACATGAAGCGGCCCGCCGCCCTTTTACTTCTTCTTGCCTGCTCCGTGGTAACGGCGCAACTGAGAACGCTCCCCGTAGAACGCTCCGGTACCTACGCCCCGCACTTCTTCCGCCAGAAACCCCTCGTGGACATGCCACCATCAGACCCATCCGACTCCCAGCCGCCGCCGGCTCAAGACGGCGTAAGGCTCTCCGACGTTATGGGCCGTGACCGGAGCATCAACGTCTTCGCTGGCTTCACGCGCGACGTCGAATCGGCCTCCCGCCGCCTCGATGACCAGGCGCGCAACACCACCGTGCTGGCGCCGCTTAACTCTGCTGTCGAGAAGTTGCCCCGAAAGCCGTGGGAAGACCCAAAGGACTACCAGAAACTCGGGGAGAACGTGTACGAGGGTGATGATGGTCGGGATAGAGCCCAGAAGAATATCCAGCGGTTTGTCGAGGCACACATGGTCGCTATGAGCCCCTGGCCCGAGAACGAGAAGGCCAAGACGATGGGTGACGATCGGGACATTTGGTGGGAGAACAAGCATGGGACCAAGTTTGTGGGTTTCATACCGAGGCTTTTTATTATTATTTATTTGATGCTTGTAGGCCGAAACTGACGGGACACACACTTAGATCCAGCCTGGCGATATTGAGGTTGTCAATGTCGCCAGCACTGTCGCCAACGGTGAAGTCGTGAGTTGTCCATGCACCACTAACCCCCCCCATAAGCATGCCCTACCAAATTGTTGGCTAACTCGTGTACCTAGTGGATTATCAAGGAGGTCCGCAACTATGTTTAGATCTTCGGGTTGGCAACGAATGCCTGCAGGGTTGGCTTGGGGACGAGTGGATGAAGGATGAGACAGACAGTGCACGAATACTTGGGCAGCACTAAATGAACATCTCCAAGTTTCTTCGCAACATCATACCATGATCTTTAAGATTTTTCCATAGGTCGCTAGCTAGTGTGGTCGTCTCAACCTAGAAAGAGGATGGGTTTGATTTTCATGCAAACCTGCTGTATCAGTTTGAAGCTTGCCATAGAACATATGGCTGGTGCAGACCATTTCCACCTTCTATCAGTCATTTGGACAGCACGCAATTCAATATAATATATAGCCTTGAAGCGATTAGCCATAGAGCAGGGAAAATCCTTATAGACAAAGTTCACTATACTCATAAAGCGATCCAGACATCATATAGAATGTGCATTTACGCCATCTCGGAACTACCTACAGTACTAAGTCAAAAGTCTGGTCACAGCAATAATGATAACCCAACGAAGAGTCAAAGAGGGGGATCCATTAATAGCTCGAGGTCACTTCACAGTGCGTCATCAAAGCCCACTGTCGCAACCACCTACTGTAGCTTTTGATTGGCCATCCTTATTGCTGTACCTAGGAACCGGATCTTGGCTGATAACAATCTTATCTCCACGTGACCCGGCTTCTTCCGCGCTTGTCTCTCATCTGAACCAGCCAGGAAGGGGCTTGAGCAGCTGGCTACTCAGCTCGTAAACCACGAATTTTCCCTACAGGACGACCTTGTAGGCCTTCAACACCGCATCTTGGGAATCAGTCGTTTCATCCTCATGTAGACTTTATATCTTCTGTAGCATCAGTCTGTAAGTTCTTGGTCTTTCTCCTATCTCTTTCTCTCTGCGAACCGGCGGCCGACGCAAACCTTGCGCGGTTGAAGATCCAGCCCCCCATCAGGTTCTTCAGTGCGCAAGCTCCCACAACAGCCCCTCCCTACTCGTACCTCTCCTACGTGCCCGCCGCTGACATCCGATCGGTAGAGGACGATCGATCTAAGGATGATGAGCGGTAAACCCGCTGACGAGGCCGACGCTTACGAGCGCGAGGCCGAGAATCGTCGCCGTCTCGTCCAGGAAGCCGACGAAATGGAGCGACGCGAACAAGAGCAGGCCGATAGGCGTCGCCGCGAAGGCTATCCTCCTGGACCACCTCATCACAGCAACGCCGGTTCGATCCCCATACACCAACCTGTCGCATCTCGCGCGATGGGCGCTATCCACAGCCCTGGCGGCCTTCTCGCGAACCATGGCTCAGGGTCCTCTGGTCCCCCAATGCCCCTTGGTGCTCCATCAGGGCCTGGCGCAAACTTTGGCGGCCCCCTTCAACCGGATAACAGCAGACCTCCGCAGCACGGCGGACCGAATAACCCGAATGCCCAGCACCAGATGTTCGCGCCGATCCCGCATACGACCGTTCCACCTAGCAATTCTCTCGGCGCTGCCAGCGGTGGCCCCCCTGTGTTCGGAGGCCCGTTGCAACAGCGCGACGGCCAGCAACCGATGCAACAAGGGCTATACGGTGGTGGTGGTGGGAGTAGTGGCAGTGGTACCGCTGGCGCTGCTGGTGGCCAGGGCCAGACGCAGCAACAAGCGCAAGGCGGCATTGCCCATGGCCAGCAACCGATTTTGAACGTAAGTTGCAATCTTGTATCACAAGTTTCGCGTAACGAAATGGCCGTTTGGCGACTCTCTTGCTTGTGGCTTGGCCATTCAAAGTGGAAACCAGTGTGGGCTGGTGCGTCGTATCGGCGCAGGTCTCCCAGGCAGGATGCAGCGCCGCGCCGCGTGAACACTCTGTTTTCAATCCCTCCGTGTCCATTTGCACTTCTCCTTCGTCATCCCTCATTATACCCCCCCCCCCCCCCCCCACCCCCCCCCCCCCAAAAAAAAAAACAATGCGTAATTCGTCGACTTGCTCGAAGTCCACAAACCACACGCGACAGCAGCCATGATGGAGAAGGCGGACATGGTCACTGTAAAGCTTGGGACCAAGTTTGATCATTGTTAAATTTGAGAGCAGGGCTAATTATAAATGTCAGGATGCTTTGACCTATCTGGACCAAGTTAAAGTACAGTTTCACGACCAACCCGATGTGTATAACCGCTTTCTTGACATTATGAAAGATTTCAAGAGCCAAGCGTAGGTGCTCTATTCGTCGCCTGGTTGGCACGGCTGACCATAACAGCATCGATACTCCCGGGGTTATTAACCGCGTCTCGGAGCTCTTTGCTGGCCATCCCAACCTGATCCAAGGCTTCAACACCTTCCTGCCACCTGGCTACCGAATCGAATGCGGCGCTGGTAATGATCCGAACACCATCAGAGTTACAACGCCAATGGGCACCACCGTTCAATCCATCGCGGGTAGAGGCACACAAGTCGATGCCCACGCGCATCCCGGTGGTGCTTCGCAACCTCTCTTCCCGCAGCGCGGAAATAACTGGCAGCAGCAGCAACAGCAGCCGCCACCTCCTCAGCAGCCCCAGCACAGCATCGAGAGCCCCGAAGCCAACTTTAGCACGCCTGTGCAGAATGGCCCCGGGTCATTTGGACCTGCTGCCCAGAATCTAGCTGCGGCTTTCGAAGCTCAAGGGGCGGCCCAGCAACGTGGTCCTCCTCTGCAGGGTGCAGCTCATGTGAACAATGGGCAGCAGCCGCCTCGCAACGCGCATACGCCAACTCCGGTTACGGGACCCGCAAATGTCAACGGTACTGCCAACCAGCAGCAGCAAGCAAATATGGAACGCCGTGGTCCTGTTGAATTCAACCATGCAATTAGTTACGTGAACAAAATCAAGGTCAGTCTATCTAGGTTCCTTTTTGTCATTTCCTTCCCAAGGCCGAGGCCTCGCACACTAACCACGCCGCAGAACCGCTTTCAGGATAAGCCTGAGATTTATAAACAATTCCTTGAAATTCTCCAGACTTATCAGCGAGAACAAAAACCGATACAAGACGTCTACGCTCAGGTTACAACTCTGTTCCACACAGCACCCGATTTACTTGAAGATTTTAAGCAGTTCTTGCCTGAATCCGCTGGACAAGGAAAGGGCACGCCTGGACGACCAAGCGACGAGCTTCCTCCTGGTCCTGGCCCGAACCAGACCCCTCAGCCTAGTATGAGCGGTCAGAAGATGCCCCCTCTTGGTAGCTTTGCACCCCCCAGTGCCTCCAAAGAGAACAGCAAGAAGCGACCTCGGACGGACAAGCAAACACCCATCCCTGTCCCAGCTGTTGTTGAGACCGCCCCTCCAGTTAACAGAGCTGCTCCTGGTGCGCCGCCCCCTGCTGGCGCGAATAACAAGCGGACGAAGTTGGCGCATAACAAGGCAATAACCTCTGATGCTTCTGCGGTTGAACCAACTTTAACACCGATTCTGCCGGAGCCTTTGGGGCCTCCAACTGCTTCTACGACTAACTCAGACGAGATCGCATTCTTCGAGAAGGTCAAGAAGTATCTCAGCAACAAGACCGCATTCAACGAATTTCTCAAAGTCTGCAATCTGTTCAGTCAGTCGATCATTGACCGGAACACGGTCTTCCACAAGGGCAGTGTTTTCTTCGCCGCCAATCCTGAACTGATGGGCTTCTGGAAGGCGTTCCTCAAATACGAGCCTCATGAGGACGTTGTCGATAACCGACCTGCTCCGCCTAGCGGTAAAGTGTCCTTGAGTAACTGCCGAGGCTACGGCCCTAGCTACCGTTTGCTACCAAAGAGGGTACGTCTGACCTATTTCCACTACCCTTCACCTCTAACTATCTCTCAGGAACGCCTCAAGCCTTGCAGCGGTCGTGATGAGTTGTGCAACTCTGTTCTGAACGACGACTGGGCCTCACATCCGACTTGGGCCTCCGAAGACTCGGGCTTCGTCGCCCATCGTAAGAATGGATTTGAGGAAGGTTTGCACCGCATTGAAGAAGAACGCCACGATTACGACTTCAATATTGAGGCGAACCTTAAGTGCATCCAGCTCTTGGAACCTGTGGCCCAGCAAATCAGCGTTATGTCGCCACTGGAAAGAGAGCACTTTCAGATGCCCCAAGCCTTGGCTGGGCACAGCACGTCAGTCTTCAAGCGTGTCTGCAAGAAGATTTATGGCGACAAGGGCCCCGAAGTTGTCAACGACCTGTTCACGAATCCGTTGAACGTGGTTCCAATTGTTCTGACCCGTATGAAACAGAAGGACGAGGAATGGCGCTTCTCTCAGCGTGAATGGGAGAAGGTATGGCATGCTCAAGTCGAACATATGCATCTCAAGAGTCTCGATCACATGGGTATTCTTGTCAAGCAGAACGACAAGAGGACCCTCTCGGCTAAACATCTCGTCGATGTTATCAAGACGAAGGCGGAGGAACAGAGGCGCCAGCGCAGCTTGAAAGGCAAGGCTCCACGCCATCAATTGGTCTGGGACTTCTCCGACAAGAAGGTTGTCGTTGAATTGCTTCGTCTGATGATGCTCTACACTGTTAGCAGCGGTCAGCACAGCGTCCCAGAGAAAGAACGCATTTCCGACTTCTTCGAGACATTCATCCCCGCATTCTTTGATATTCCTGAGGAGGAGATTGATGGACGCTTGCCTAGGCTTCAGGATGTATCAGAAGAAGATGACGCCGAAGAGACTGTCCCAACCGAGCTTACCAACGGCCGTAGTCGTCGTACTGGCAGAAGAGGCGATCTGCTCCGTGGTGTACTTGACCCTGGTCGCAATGGTTCTAAGCCTCGTGCGCACAAGGAGGGAAGCGCAGCATCCGGCAGCAAAGAGACAACTCCCGAAGTGGGCTCGGCCAACGAAGAGGAGATGCCCGATGCCCCAGAAGATGGTGCTGGGCCTGATGTGTCAAACGAACGCTGGATGCCAATCGTGCCACAACCTATTGTTACGACGGGGGACGATGCCCTTCTGACTGCTGATGGCGAACTGAAGGCCGACGGGTTCTTCTCCCGACCCTGGTACAACTTCTTCTGCAACCAGACGATTTTCGTCTTCTTCAACGTGTTTCAGACGGTCTACACACGCCTGAGGGATGTCAAGGAGAGCAAAGAAAGTGTTATTGAAGAGATTAATCGTGTCAACCGACCACGTCCAGCGAAGGATATCGGCTTGGCCGACAACACCCTGAACTACTTTGGCCCGAATGACGATCCTTCAACGTTCTGGCCAAAGACGCTTGAGCTCGTTGAGGAATATATCACTGGTGATATCGACGAGGTTCGGTATCAAGATGTTCTTCGTCACTACTACTTGAAGAGCGGTTGGAAGCTGTACACCATTCAGGACCTTCTCAAGACTCTATGCCGTCTCGCTCTCACTTGTAGTAGCACTGACGCAAAGGAGAAGACTCCTGATCTCATTCAGCAATACCTTCACAGCCGTGAGAAGGAGGAGACGAATTACCAAGCTGAGATTGCTGCTCGAAAGTATGCAGAGAAGTGCGTCAAGGACGGCGAGATGTTCGTTATATGCTGGGTAAGTCCAAGTAGAGATCACTCCACTCAACTAACACATCTGACATCTAATCGTGTAGTTTCCACAAAAGTCTGAAGCCGCAGTCCGTTGGCTGCAGCGCGAAGATACAACGTTCTACATGGATGAGATGAAGGCTAAGGACCGTTGGCAATACTATATCTCCTCATTTATCCAAGTGGAGCCAACAGAAGGTGTGCCTCGCCATAAGCTTCAGAAGACAGTTCTGGCACGCAACCTTCCCTCTAGCGACGAGAAGTTTGAGGATAGCCAGATTCCAAAACCTATCTCTTTTGACGAAGATCTTTCCATCAGCATTTGCCTCAATTCTAGCAAGATGGTATGGAAGGCCGGCACGTCCGAATACTTCGTCTACGACAACGTTCCCAACGACAAGGAAAGCCGCGAACGACACCTCGAGAGACTCAAGAACGCAAGCAACAAGCGCGACACCAAGCTCCGTGAGAAGTTTGTCTTCAACAGTCCTTGGATGAAGGGCATGAACCAGGCCGATGTCCAGAAGTTAAACGAGGGCTGGTCGAAATGGTTGAAGGAGGGTACAGTCCCTTCTTCCGATGTTGGGGACGCAATGGACACCGGAGAGTGAGACTGCGCTCGGCGGCGTACGTTGTTACTCAGGGATCATACTAGCCCCAAGGTTCACGCGATGACGGCAGTGGCATTGGCGGGATGGACACAGGGGTGACGAAGACTGAGAGTTCACATTACGAAGATACCAGGCGGCATAGCGGTGCAGAGCGGCATGGCTGCCATGTTACCCATCAACTTACGTGGGTTTGTCTCTTGATACCCTGACCACACTTGGTAAAACGTGGGACGGGTTGGCATGGGATGGCGTGGAATGGGCTCGGCGTTGCTTCATTTCCTTTTTCGATTTCAACTTTGTTTTTGGTGTGACGCACAGAGAGGAAACCGACAAGGGGTCCTCATCTAGAAGTGTGCAGCGGCTTGCTTTCGCGCTTAATCGTCTCGGGGTGCGTTCCTTCGATTTGTTTCATTCTCCGAGCTTGATTTTCGCAAGTGTACAATAGTTATGTATACGCACAGAAGAAAAAGCATTGCAACTTAAACAGCTCGGTCTCCGACGCGTTGTGGTTGACTGATTCCGAGTGGCGGCAGGCCCATGTGATTGATCACTGGCCACCTTGAGATCCACCACAGAAGGCCGATATCGCGGCATTGGAGCGCAGCCACATATGCTAAACACCAGTGAAGGTTGTGAAGACTAGGTAGTCATGAACGAGATGCAACGTGGGTGGGGTTCTATCAGGCCATCTAATCCAGAACTGATTTGCCTGAGAGAGATGGACAGAAAAAGACGCAAAAAACGGCAGGCTCCAAAGTGGGAACAGGGAACAAGATTACTTCGTCTTATTCGTAATATTAAGAAGGATCCGCAATGACCGCCCATTGCGCTATATCTAAAAAGTGGTATACTGGCTTTTTGGGGGGAGGTGAGTGAGCCCGCAGCGCCGGGCGATGTTATAGCGAAATTTATGCTCTTCCTTTGCGTCGAATCTCTACAGAAAAGGGCCCAAAAATAGTGCAATATCCCAGGCGGCACGACACTGGCAGTGCGCGCTTTACCAGGCCACGGCCCCCATGCGGCAGCCTGAGTCAATTACTTGAGCCAGGCTGCATGAACTAAGACCTTCGAGATGGCGTAGGTTTAGAGGGGTTGGTTTTTAATTGCTCTGCTTGCTTTATTGCAGGCTCTCAATGACAATGGCGGACGCACCGCCGCCACCGTTGCAAATACCGGCAACACCAATCTTGGCCTTCTTCTCACGAAGGACGGTCGAGAGGGTGGTGACAATGCGAGCACCGGAGCATCCCAGAGGGTGTCCGATGGCGACGGAGCCACCAAAGACGTTGACCGTCTCAGGGTTAAGGTTCAACAACTTGATGTTGGCAAGGGCAACGACGGAGAAAGCCTCGTTGATCTCGTAAAAGTCGACATCCTTCTCGGTGAGACCGGCGTGCTTGATGGCCTTGGGGATGGCCAAAGCAGGAGCAATGGTGAAGCGCTCCGGCTCACGTGCGGCGTCGGCCCAGCCGCGGATCTTGGCAATGGGGGTAACACCGAGCTCCTTGACCTTGGCCTCGGACATAAGGACGACAGCGGCAGCGCCGTCGTTGAGGGGAGCGGCGTTGGGAGCGGTGACAGTGCCACCGTTGGGGATGAAAGCCGGGCGTATGGCCTTGAGCTTGTCAACGTTGAGGTTCTTGACCTCGTCGTCGCGGTCGACCTTGATGTTAGGCTTGCCACGGCCCCCGGAGACCTCGATGGGGGCGATCTCCTGGGAGAAGACGCCAGCTTCGGTGGCGGCCTGAGCCTTCTTGTAGGTGCCGATGGCGTATTCGTCCTGCTGCTCACGGGTGATGTCGTGCTCCTTGGCACAAAGCTCGGCGGCCATGCCCATGTGCTCCTTCTTGCCGTAGGCATCAGTCAGGCCATCCTTGAGGACACCGTCGACGAGGGTTTGGTCGCCGTACTTGGCACCGTTACGAAGGACGGGGAGGTAGTGAGGGGTGTTCGTCATGGACTCGGTGCCACCAGCGACAACGATGTCGGCGTTACCAGTGATAATGGTCTGGGCGCCGAGAATGATAGCCTTCATGCCCGAGGCGCAGACCTTGTTGACGGTCGTGGCAGCAACGCCCTGCGAAAGGCCAGCTCCGAGAGCACATTGGCGCGCCGGAGCCTGTCCAAGACTAGTCTTCAAGTCAGAACCTGCGCGGAGTTATGCTTATTTTTTTATTTTCAGGGACTCTTTTCGACGTACTTGGCGGACAGGACATTGCCGTAGAAAACCTCTTCGACATCCTCGGGCTTGATCTGGGGGACTCGCTCGACGGCAGCTGTGGAGGAGTAAGTATTGGTTTGGCCCGTGTCTCGACCTGGAATTGAGATAAGACATTCACGTACCCTTGATGGCATGTGCACCTAATTGAGTGGCACTGAGGCTAGACAGAGACCTGGGAGAGGAGAAAATATGTTAGCCTTCTTGTTTGAAGCGGTCAAGACAGCTTGTCTCAGTGGGTTGATTCATTCGTACCCCAAGAAAGAACCGACGGGGGTTCTGGCGGCAGAAACGATGTAGACAGGAGGAAGGTTGGTCATTTTGAGGGTGGGTACAGTGCGGTATTGAGAGAATATGGAGAGAAAGGTTGAAAAGACGAGCTGGGAGCCGTTGTGTACTTGATGACCAGTTTTTGTTGGGTGTCGGTCACTTATCAACAAGACATGCTCCTCCTACCCACCCCTCACCTCGTTGTAATGCTTGGTGGGGTTGTTTAGACCCTCCGCTGTGGTGGCTCGACAACCGTGTGGCGCAGCAGCTGTCGATCTGTCAAGCATTGACCACTGTCAAAGCCCCTCCAATGTACCGGCTTCTGTAGCGGCGGACCCGCGGCCAATCACTTAGCTTCAGCCACTCAGCCTTGCAGCCACTCACGTGGTCAAGTCATACAGCAGCCTCGCAAGAAACTTTGCTAGCGGCGTCATGCTCAACGCGCTTGCGCTTGCGCTTAAGCCGAGAATCCTCACAGCCTTTTGGTAACCTGCAATAAAAATTCCCTTTCACATCATTAGACGCCAAAATGGACGACCTATACGACGAGTAAGTTGAAGCTTCTCTAAGATGACTAGATCATTGTACTCACAAATTGGTTAGGTTCGGTAACTTTATTGGTGAAGATGTTGGCTCTGAAGAGGCGTCTGAAAGGGGAGCGGAGGGCGACTATGTCTACGGTGACGATGCCAGCGAAGCGCCCGCGGCCACTGGCCAAGAACTGATGGAAATTGACGGCATGTACAAATCATACTGTTGCTTTCAAGACCTTGGCTAACTTGGGAACAGACGATGGCCCGTCGAACGCGATCATCCTGCACGAAGACAAACAGTACTACCCGACAGCGCAACAAGTATACGGAGATGAAGTCGAGGTACTGGTACGAGAGGAAGATGAGCAGCTTCTGACACAACCAATCATTGCGCCTGTAGAGCAAAAGAAGTTCAACATTGAGGAGACCGACCTGCCCCCAGTCTTCTTCGACCGCAGCTTCATGGCGGACCTAATGAACTTCCCCAACCAAATAAGAAATGTTGCGCTGGCAGGACATCTTCACCACGGAAAGACTGCGTTTATGGACATGCTTGTGCTGGAGACTCACGACATCACCGATAGACTCGAGCGCCGGGTCGGCAAGAAGAGAGACGAACAGCTCAGATACACCGATGTTCACATCGTCGAGAGAGAAAGAGGAGTGTCGATCAAGGCGTCGCCAATGAGCTTGGTGTTACCAAGCTCCAAGGGAAAATCCCACCTGGTCAACATTTTGGATACCCCTGGCCATGTCAACTTTGTTGACGAGGTTGCGACCAGCTTGAGATTAGCCGACGGAGTCTGTTTGGTTGTCGACATCGTAGAAGGCGTGCAAGTCAACACCGAGCAGATTATCAAACACGCGGTCCTGGAGGATATCCCCCTAACACTTATTCTCAACAAGATGGATCGTCTCATCCTGGAGCTCAAGCTGCCGCCCAAGGATGCGTACTTCAAGCTCAAGCATGTGATTGAGGAGGTCAACACAGTCATCGAAAACACAGTTCCAGGAAAAGGCGAGGCGAAGCGGATAAGCCCCGAGAAGGGCAACGTCCTCTTTGCTTGCACAGACATGGGGTGGTGCTTTACTCTGCAGTCCTTCGCCAAGATGTACACCAATACGTACGGCGGCATCAACGCAGAGGACTTTGCAAAGAGGCTGTGGGGGGACATCTACTTCAACCCTGAGAAGAGGAATTTTACTCGCAAGCCGCTGGAAACCCGCTCAAGTCGGTCGTTTGTCAACTTCGTACTGGAGCCCATCTACAAGATCTTTACGCACACCATTAGCGATAGCCCTGAAGATCTGAAGGTTGTTTTGGGTGGTCTCGGCATCACTTTGAAGCCGTCTCAGTACAAGGCCGATGCGAAGGTTCTGCTGAAGCTAGTGTGTGAACAGTTCTTCGGTCCGTCAACTGGCTTCGTCGACATGATAGTGCGGCACATCCCGTCACCTGAAGAGTCAGCGGAGAGGTATTTGGAGAAGTACTACACAGGCCCTCTGGACACGAAGATGGCCGAGTCCATGAAGTCCTGTAACCAGGATGGACCTTTGGTTATTCATGTCACGAAGCTCTTCAGCACAGCGGATGCCAAAAGCTTCTATTCGTTTGGTCGGGTTTTGAGCGGTACAGCTCAACCCGGCATGCAAGTTCGAGTCTTGGGAGAAGGATACTCAACAGACGACGACGAAGACATGGCGATGGCAACGATTTCCGATGTGTTTATTGGCGAGTCAAGATACAATATTCCGACGGACGGGGTACCAGCGGGTAACTACGTGCTTCTTGGTGGAGTCGACAACTCCATCGTCAAGACAGCAACCCTCGTGCCGCCCAAGCTTGAGGACGACGAGGACCCTTTTATCTTCAAGCCTGTCACACATTTCACAGAATCCGTCCTCAAGGTGGCAGTCGAGCCTATAAATCCTTCAGAGCTTCCCAAGATGCTTGACGGTCTGCGGAAGATCCAAAAGAG